TGAGCTCGGAGCACCGGGCAATCTCCACCGAGGCAATCGTTTCTCTTGCCCCCTGAGCTCCCCCTGCTCCAAGGTTTCTGCAGCAGCAGCTCCAGTCTGGGTCCGAAGCACCAGGACCTGCTCCTGACCAGCTGATTCAGCATCATGGCCCTGGTGGGGATGGGACCACACCTGCGTGTCCCAGCTGGGGGCTGGCCGGGGGGGGGCAGGAGCAAGCAGGGATGTGAAGTGCTGGAGCCGGGGGGAATCCGGCCCAGACGCTCTTCTCACGGGTGAGGGCTGATTCTCATCTCGCGCTGGTGTGAAGCAGCATTGATGCAGCCCCTTGGCAGTCCCCTGGCACTAGCAAGCGGCGCCCGATCCCTGCACAGTTCATTGCGACGTGCTTCCTTTTGCAGGGGGCAGCCAGTCCGTTCCGCCTCGGTGCCGCTCAGCTCCGCTCTCTCCAGTCGCAGCCCAGGGGGGACGTGCAGCCCCAGCAGGGAGCAGGGGGGAGACAACCCCTCACCCCCGACCCCTGCCCAAATCGTAGCCCTGAAATGGTTCTGCTCCCGTCAGATCCTGCCCATGCCGCAGCTGGGAGTCCTGACCCAAGAGCATCCTTCCCACTGCCCGTTTCCAGGCCGGCCAAGGGAAGGGACCCCCAAGCCTTCTTCTGCCTAGCCCCCATATGACGGGCTGCTGGGGTTTCATTTGGTTTCAGGTTTTTCTTAAGAAAAAAGGGGCTTTTACAAAACCAAACAGACGGTTGGGGGGGGGGCGCGTCTCGGTGCTATGCTAACGACAATCACAAAAGCCTCGGGCAACGGAGTCTGCAGGGTTGTCCGTCTTCTTCGGCACACGGGCACACATGCGGCTGGACGGCGACAAGCAGGCAGGTCAACGACGGCACGACACACTGCACTACAAAACTGTGCTTCGTGGGGGGCAGCCTGGCCACCACGGCCCCCTCCAGGGGGGTTCACGGATGCACAACCCCCTCCCTCCAGCAGCAAAGCTTTGGGGACCTGTTCTCTTGCATCTCATCAGGCTTTGAACATAGCTGCCTCCTGTGGGTCCAGTCCTAGGGTCCTACGGTGGTGGGTGGAGAGAGAGGGCCGGCGTGAGGAAGGGACCCCAAGTCCATGGGCCGGGGGGCAGGGAAGGGGCATGTCGCATTCCAGATCTGTACAAAACTTCAGCGATGAGGCGCGTGGAAAGGTTAAAACAGTTCCGAGACGTCGCAAAATCCTTCTCGACTGTGCCGGGCCGGGCGGCACCAGCCCAACCGCAGGGACCGTGTCCGGCGGGATTGTCCGTGCCGCGGCGGCTCCGGTCTGGGGAAGGCGTCCGGCCCAGGGACCCTTTATCTCTCTGACTTCACCTTGTAGCGGAGCACCAAGTACGCCAGGAGCCGCAGGACGAGGAAGAAGATGCCCAGGACAATGAAGTCCAGGTAGAGCTTGGCCTCCTCGACGTCCAGCTCCTGCAGGATGCGGGCAGGTTCCTTGAAGGGGCAGAAATCCTCCTGGCACTCCAGATCCTCACGCCCCATGGCATAAATGGTGAGGATGACGCCCTCAAAGCCATACCTGTGTGTGCAACAGACACAGCATCACCCTGACAGGCGCCAGCACAGGCAGGGCTGGCTATTGGCATCCTGCTGGGCATTGAGGCCCATGCGGGGCAGGGCTGCACCCTGCCACAGCCAGGAGATGCTCACAGGGGACCCCAAGCTGGTTACAGCCCTGCACCCCAGAAAGCCAGCTAAGAGGGGTGCTAGAAAGGGGCTCCTAGGCCAGGTACCAGCACAAGAGTGCACCAGGGTGCAGACAGGAGTGATACCAGCACTGCTGCGTGGCACTGAGCCTCAGGCCATCACTTTTCCCCAGGACAGCTTCAGGTCTATGCCACCAGCAAGAGGCACCAGGCTTCCCCACCCCCCCAGCAGCTCCCCATCCATGGAGCTGGGTCTCACTGTCCCAGGAGAGGGTCCCCAGGCACAGGGGGTGCTGGACGTGCCCCAGGCCCTCGCCAGTGGAGCATCCGCGGGAATGCTCAAGGCCCAGTCCCGCCGCGCTGCCCACCTGACGTAGGAGACGTAGGAGCTCCACTGCAGGTACGTGGGGATGGTCTTGAAGCTGACGAAGAAGCCTGAGAAGAGCAGGACGGGGATGGCAGTGACCGGCCCCACGAATGTGGC